CAACTTCCTCCGCCCGCTCTACAGCCCTTTGCCCATCTCCAGCGGGGCGCCGGTATCTCACCCGGGCTTCTGCCGGTCCGTGGAGACGTCTCCGTCGGGTACTCTCCTCTGCCGGGCAACTCGGTACGTCGAGACTATCTCCCCACGGCAGATTCGAGCACCTCGACCTCAACTAAACACTGACACAATCTTACGAGAGCCTTGACGTAACTGTACGAATCAATCCGAGAGCGTAGCTTCTGAGCAGGGTGGCGACCCGAAGAGAACCAGAAATCGAGAACGTTATCTATATCGGTAACCGGAGCTGCCTTGGGACCGTGATTCGAAAAATCACGTCACAATACTTATCGCTTATTCGATATAAGCAATAAAAATGTATAGAAAACCTTTCGATCATTCAGTGCACTCGACGACGAGTAGTCAACGTGTTACAGGTATCTATAAGCACCTGTAAGTCATGAACTTGTTGATCTAATGTATCAGGGACGTTAATGCCGATGAATGTTAAATTACGTGAATGAGGATTTTGTAATATCTCAAGTCCGAGTAGATTTGTAAGGAATTTGACAGTAATTAAAGTCAGAGTTAAAATTAGTCCAAGTTGTCCTTTAACGTGTAAAAAGATAAAATAGTAAGATCTATTTAAATGCTCGAAGGTAGGAAAATTCTTAAAATGTGTGTCAAGTCCCAAGTCGTGCAGGGTAATAAGCAATTGATGTAAAACAAGTGCTTAGCTATGTCCTACCTACAAATTAATTGAGACTAAATTACTTGAAAAATCGAACCAGTGAGAACGTCGCGATTTACGTTGCATAAATTGTACAAATAATCAATACGTTACAAAATATAGAGTTTAAATACATTTTTTCTTTTGTCTTTAAATTACATTTTTCTTTAATTACGCATAATGAATAACAAATTATCTATATATCAAATTATAAATTTAGAGTAGATGCACGAATTATCTAAATCATATTATTACACAGCAACTAAATTACTCATTCGACCAGCAATAAATACGATTTACCAATGTATTGTAGAATGCATCTGGTGCCGTTACCGAATGGCGCTACTTCGCAGACCCTTTTTTATTTTTAGATGCTCTCGAAATGCATACCTTATGAGTAATCATAAAAATGGGATTGGGTCAATTTCATTTGGAACTCCGATTCAAGAGCTTTTACCTAAAAGAACCTTTGGAAGCTTGACTGGGAACAGATGTCGAATTCATGACAGAGCATTTCAAAATGCATCTAGAATTGAATACCCAAAAATTCTAATACGTTACAGGATTTCCACCGTATGATATAGCGAATAAATACATAAGAAAAAAGAACCAATAATATGCAAAATCCCACAATTTTGTTCTCGCCAATTTATGAGCTTCATATATACTGCCTTTAACTGTGGGTTAATTTCGGAAAAATCAAAAGTATTAAAAAGTGACAGTAAGAAAAAAAACAAAGAACAATACTGTTAAACGCACAAGAAGCTACTGCGATAAACGAGTCCCTTTGTATGTATTCCGAAAACGTGTTGCGTAATAAACGCATTTTTAAAAACATTAATAAATGGTTAAATGACCGCTTTTACCTCTAGCTCGCAATTGGTTTTTGAGCCTTAGACCGTCACACATATTGACCGACGATTTCAATGCTGCATAACTTTTTAATCAATATCTAACCTATCATCACCTATATCAATCGCTAACCAATCCAGTAAGAATGACCTTTGGAACAATAGTGGTTACTCTCTTCCAACATAAATAATCAATACTATTCCGTGCTATTCGTCACTCGCTTTCTATCCTACCTGAAATTCGCTGCTAACCAGACCAGTCACAGTTAATGTTCCTTTTTGTTCATATATAGATAAAGCGGTAACGTTGCAGACTGCACTGCCAGTTTCAAACCAGCGCATGCGCGAAATTAATTTTTCGTGCATCGACGAATGCATAATATATAACCACATGGTTTATGCGGTCGTCTGTCAAGGCAAACTTATGTACCGCAATATTTTGAACTACTAATGGTAGATGCTAGACAACGCCATACCAGGGTTATAAAGTTGAACGTATCGATTGACGACCTCACAACCACACCACTGTATCTTGCCTGAGGTCACCACGAATGATTCGATGAAACAGGAAGCTTTCGGTGAGAAAATCGATACTCTTATATGTTATTTAATGCAGCCATGAATCATTAACCCTACCGAACTTATAGATTTGACCCAAAGTTGACCGTATATTATTATTATATTATTATTACTATTATACTACTATTACACTACTACTACCATTACAGCGCACCGCGATCCAATGAACAGTAAATCAAACGAACGACTTTGGTGAAAGAAATTTCAAAAAATTTGTCAAAACATTAAAAAATAGAATGCATGTACTGCAATTTGTCAAATTAACGTATTTGCATCATACATGTTACACGCTAATGCATTAAAATTTTCGAAATTTCAGAATTGAACAAGCAAATACAAAGTGTTCACATTTTCAGGTAAAAGCTCACCTACATCTTTAATATTTTCAGACCCACTCCACGTCACTGCTTCTGAAGAATCTCAGGATGTAACTGAAAGCTCGACGCATTGAAGGAGCACAATTTCTCACGTGATTATCGCACATATTTCAGACTGAAAGCTTTTCTCTTCTCCACTTTTCTTCCAACCGATTATCCTCAATCCTCGTTCAATTGCAAATTCCGAAAAAAGTCCATTCAATTGTAAAAAGTCCAAATTCACTAGAGTTCAACGGACAGAACACTCGTTACGGCGCTCCAATTAATAAAGCTCACGGATAATTTAAGCGCGCATGCGAAAGCACGATTTCCATTCGCGGTTCACAGGTTCCTGTAACGTGAACAGCTGTTTTCGAAATATCCCGCGCGATTTAAACTATGCTCACTCCGCCGTTTAGTGCAATAGAAGATATTGGCTGCCAGAAACAAATACAAGAGATGAATGCAGATTTACAAGAACTGAATGAGTGCGAGAATATAAGCAGCAAGAAAATAATATTCTTGTCGTATGAGAAATATTTTATACATTGCGTGCGAAACACCTCCGTAAGGACCATCTGCCATAATTATTTGCATATTCAGGGAGCACTGTCGTATCACTGACGAGTAGGGGTCTCATTTACCTACGTTATAATCTGTAAAGGATTGGTCCCTACAAAGTAGACCGACGTAATTCAAAGTATGGTTACATAAAAATATTACAGTCGCCCTAAATAAAAGTATTGAACGCTCTAAGATTCAAATGCGTACGATACGCGTTGCAAGAGACGTAGTTTCAAGACATGTTTTGTCGTACTATCTTATTATCACTGTAAGCGGCATAGTACGAAATAAAAGTTGCTCAAGTGTTTCCCAAAAAAAAAAGTATAAAAGAAAAAGTCGAAAGCACGAACAAAGAGACGAAAGTATCGTCGCGTGTAATGTACGAAGAATGAAGTAAGGGGGAAGCGCTCGGCAAGTGTCGAACACGCTCACAGCACAAAAATCCCTAAAAGTTATAAATTTCCAGGAAGTGCAAAACCCAGCTGTCACTTTTCCTCGAAGAGAGATGTATGGCGGCAAAAAAAATAAGCCAAAGGTAAAGAAGAAATATGTACAGAAAAAGAAGGGAAAAAAAGTGAAGGAGGATTGAGTAAGCTTCACCAAGGAAGGCAAGACCCAAGTAAAGAAAATGCAAACTACCCACGTCGCATTGAGGCCGCCAACTTTTTGCCTAAGCCTTGCCGTGCGAAAACGCGATAAAGCTCGATCTTTTAACGTCGCGGCATATTAGAGCAAGAACTCCGCTTTCGGGGTTCGATGTGTCACGGGTGAATATCGAGCGGGTAATTTCACATATATCTGACAATCCTGCGACATATGTACTCAACTTGCGTATGTATGTACATAGGCTAGTACCCTCTATATTATATGTGTCTATGTACTTACCACCTAGGAAGCTAAATATAACAACTCGACCATGTTTTTTCTCCCCGCATAACCTATACCTTCCTATAATATCTTAAGACTCTAACCTACTGCAGGTACTAGTGACAAGCAAAGCATTCGGACGAATCAATTCTCTGATTGCTCTGCGACGTCCACGATTTCCGTACAATTCCATGCCTGAATTACCTTCTTCGGTGGATTTACGACGACAACCCTGGCATTACGTGGAATCGCGTTAAGGCAGTATCCTGCTTTAAAAGGGTACATAAATCGATTTTTTTTTTATTGCCTAAATCTATTCCTAATGTATCCAAGAATATGTATTCAATGTTATAGAGGCTAATTCACTATATTTTTAAATATGCAGCACTAAACGCATTGGGGTATGGGCAGCTGGAGCGCGCGCTCCTTTACTTTAAAGCGCGTTTTCTCGAGTTTTCATTTTTATGCTTTTTCTAAACTGGCGGGTGTGATCGCAAGAAAACTAGACGACCAATCAAAACGAACCAAAGCTTGTTAGCTTCAGTTTTGTATTCTCTTCTATTTGAACTAAAAAGATTCATGAAAAAAGTTCTAAACAACTTTTTTAGAAAGTTAAAATGATTTTTTTTTTCACAAAAAAACACATTTTTTTTCAAACTTGAGAAAAATTTTAGATTTCACAATTTTTTGAGTTTTTCTTAGTTCATATAGAAGAAAAACATGGAAAGTAAAATTTTCTTTAGTTTTTTTGTTTCAAACGAAAATTGCGAGCTTCATCTTGCCCGCCGATTGGAGACTGCAATTGCAAGGTGTTGTACAAATGAGCATAAAAATCTACTGTGCATGAATATTTTTTGCTCAACAAAATTTTTGTTTAATGTTCAAATATGCAATAAAATAATCTTCTAAGTTCGCTACACTTGCTTATTTTTTTCTGTCCTAAAAGAGTTCCCGAAGAAACGCTTTTTTTAGGCCTCCTAAAGCAGGATACTGCCTTAAGCGAACAAGAAATAGCACGCTGTGCGGACACAACCTCTAGATAATTTCCAATAGAAATTGTAGGATAAAAATTCTTTTAAGAATGGTGCTGACGTTTATGATTTATGTGCCTTAACAATAGTCGTATCTAGTACAGAAGTTTAACAATGATACTCAGGCGATTTTCGTGATTTTATGATAAGTGTATCAATAATTAAATAAATATAGGTATTCATTGTAATTTAGATAACAATTTAAGGTGTAGCACTGTATGAATTCTGTGACGAGAAATGTGTCAGGAGATTTCGAGTTTCTGAGTAAATATTTAATCAATCAAAATCCATTTGACAAGAACGTAAAAGACTAAAACAATACCAGGAGAATGTAAAAGCCGAACGAGTAGTAGGACAGTAGTCATATATTAGAGTTTCAAACAAGAAAAGTAATAGGGATGGTCGGTAGTATCATCTTCAGGGAGGTGAAGGGGGAGTCGGAGGACGAGTTACTGCATAAAACGATCGAATTTCAATCGGCACGTGTTCTATTTTTAATGTTCAATTTTTTCAAACTATTTCTGCAATCTTCCTTGTTAAAATTGAATAACAAAGTTCCATTCGATTTAGTTGCCTCCTTATTGATCGATGCCTTTATCCTTAGCCTAAAAACTTGTCGCCGATCGACAGCCTTCATCGAGTCAAAAGGTCAGCGAAAGAAATTTTTTTGCGACATAAATCCGTAAAAAAGAAAAAAGCATGAATCAAGTGAAACACCTTCAAGTTTCATAAAAAGAGATTTAAGCCGATTTGTAAAGTAACCGTAAAACCTAATCGCAGTAACAAATTATTTCCAAAGCCCTTGTTAAAAGGTAACGTGCAATTCGTAGAAAGCGATGACGAAGCTCAGGAACTAAGAAGTAACGAAGGACGATAAATAAATAAACCAATCGGACAATCGTGTAATTGCTATTTAATTGTTGATACAAAAGAAAAGAAGTGTTGGGTTGAACATGCAATAATAGAAAGTGCGTACTTTCTAGAAAGTAGGATAACCTTGCTTTCTTGATCGCATTCAGGTAAGGTGTGTCGCAATGTATTCCATATTTTTCTGCGACGAAGATGCGACGAGTGATCGAGTCATGTATAAGAAGGACAAAACAGACACTGTGTATAGTACAAAGAATAGAGGGCTTCGCGAACGTGGCACAAATTTCTTGGAGAAGGATTACCGCGCGCTACGTCAAATTACGCAAAGGTCCTTTCACGGTGAAAGTCTGTCGAGGACTGCGCGAGGAGTGGGAGGATTTCCGAAGGTGCCGTTGTCGGTCGACGGAGGGGAGGGTTCCAGGTTGTTTAGGGTGGGGAGCTTCCAGGTGGTGGCAACGAGCATGCGTAAAGGAGTCGAGACTCGACCGACACCTGCAACCCTTTTCCGCCATCAATTCTCTTTTTAACCCCTTCGGGCGACCCGATCCACCTCGCACCTCTTCAGGTCCGAGCCCTTCACCAGCAATATACGTCCTTTGCCTCACCGCCCTTTTTCGTCCTTTAGTCTCCTCTTACTTCACGCCGTCTGACCATCAAACTCTTGTGGATATATAACCCACGTTACCAGAGAATGTTCTGTTTTTGCTCCCAATGTCTAGGAAATTTTAAACCCAATCGACCCAAACACTTTTTTTTAAATCAGAAACCTTTGAAAATAATAAGTTATTTTC